CACCCACACACACCTCATTACTTAGTTGTAGTTATTCCTGCTTGATAGCGGTGTAAGCATCACATGTAGTTATTCCTGCTTGCTAGCGGTGTAAGCATCACATCATTACTTAGTTGTAGTTATTCCTGCTTGCTAGCGGTGTAAGCATCACATGTACAGTGATCGCTCGCTATTGCGCTACCAATGGGGTCCAAATAATTGGTGGGCGTTATAGACGATGAGCCGTTTAACCGAGGCCGAGGCGGGGGAGCGCGCTCGGCAAATCTCAAATCATCAATAGGCCTATGTGTTTATCTCACGTCACGTCAAAATAGTATATATTTTTATGGACCTAGATCTACCTGTAATATCATTCATTTATTAAATCTGTCATATTTCACAATGTCTGAAATACGTATTCCATTCTAATTTATCATTTTTTATCAATAAATTAAAAAATTATTCACTATTTCCCGCGATGTTATTGAAAATAAAATTCTCGGACAACAATTTCGACAACGGGTCCGCATCGAACATGTCAAAGAGCAAAATAAAGACTATTTTAAGCAAATCTTTAAATATATTATACAAAGTGATAAATAAAATCAACAAAAATATATCTAAAAGTAATCAAACTTACATCTAAGTTATTATTTCCATCGTTTCGTGCGATCGCGTGTAATGTAAGTCAAATGACATCTCGGCTTTCGTCGCCTTGAATTCTCGGCTCGGACACAACGTTTAATGCAAAAATATATGCATGAAAAATCTTTGTCACAGCTCGTAACCTAGCACGATACATTCGCAAAGTTCCATATTTTTAATATATATCGTGATTTCCTGCTTAAAACGTTCAGAATAACACGATTTAACAAAAAATCTTTCGCTAACTTCTGAAATTTATCAAACACGAGCTTGGTATCACAGCTTGATTGGCTGCCTGAGGTCACGTGCTCAAAATTGACCAATCACGAAACTTGTAGCAGATTTCGGCAAGAAAGCGTCATTAGAAACAAATTTTAATCCAATGAAATCGCTTGTTATAACTACGGGGAAAAAACAGGCGATGTTACGAAAGCGCGATTACGAAATGAATGACCGCCGTGTTGTGACAGCAACTACATGTGTGTGACAGTTTAGCCTTAAATTGGATTGCCCACTAATTAAGAATATAAACTTCACTTGTGGTTCTCTTTTATTGCATGCATGCGCTTCTAAGAGCAAAGGATGTATAGTGTGAAAAGTTAACTAGTAGAACAATCGTATTTCCGGGACCTGCCGCGGATGTTTTCAAACAGATTATTAGAACTCCATTCAGCGATAAACCGTTGATTATGCAATGAGAAGCGTTATGTGCAAATAAACAACGAACAACAATACAATCATGTCTGTGTAAAACTCTCAGTATTAAAAGTGTACATAAATTTTGGGAGCCATGCGTTACCGCGCGTAATAACCGAAGTAGCGCTTTATCGAAGAGCGCAATAGCGAGCGATCACTGTAGTTATTCCTGCTTGCTAGCGGTGTAAGCATCACATCATTACTTAGTTGTAGTTATTCCTGCTTGCTAGCGGTGTAAGCATCACATGTAGTTATTCCTGCTTGCTAGCGGTGTAAGCATCACATCATTACTTAGTTGTAGTTATTCCTGCTTGATAGCGGTGTAAGCATCACATGTAGTTATTTCTGCTTGCTAGCGGTGTAAGCATCACATGTAGTTATTCCTGCTTGATAGCGGTTTAAGCATCACATGTAGTTATTCCTGCTTGCTAGCGGTGTAAGCATCACATGTAGTTATTCCTGCTTGCTAGCGGTGTAAGCATCACATGTAGTTATTCCTGCTTGCTAGTGGTGTAAGCATCACTTCATTACTTAGTTGTAGTTATTCCTGCTTGATAGCGGTGTAAGCATCACATGTAGTTATTCCTGCTTGCTAGCGGTGTAAGCATCACATCATTACTTAGTTGTAGTTATTCCTGCTTGCTAGCGGTGTAAGCATCACATGTAGTTATTCCTGCTTGCTAGCGGTGTAAGCATCACATCATTACTTAGTTGTAGTTATTCCTGCTTGATAGCGGTGTAAGCATCACATGTAGTTATTCCTGCTTGCTAGCGGTGTAAGCATCACATGTAGTTATTCCTGCTTGCTAGCGGTTTAAGCATCACATGTAGTTATTCCTGCTTGCTAGCGGTGTAAGCATCACATGTAGTTATTCCTGCTTGATAGCGGTGTAAGCATCACATGTAGTTATTCCTGCTTGATAGCGGTGTAAGCATCACATGTAGTTATTCCTGCTTGATAGCGGTGTAAGCATCACATGTAGTTATTTCTGCTTGCTAGCGGTGTAAGCATCACATGTAGTTATTCCTGCTTGATAGCGGTTTAAGCATCACATGTAGTTATTCCTGCTTGCTAGCGGTGTAAGCATCACATGTAGTTATTCCTGCTTGCTAGCGGTGTAAGCATCACATGTAGTTATTCCTGCTTGCTAGTGGTGTAAGCATCACTTCATTACTTAGTTGTAGTTATTCCTGCTTGATAGCGGTGTAAGCATCACATGTAGTTATTCCTGCTTGATAGCGGTGTAAGCATCAAATGTAGTTATTCCTGCTTGCTAGCGGTGTAAGCATCACATGTAGTTATTCCTGCTTGATAGCGGTGTAAGCATCACATCAATACATTGCTAAATGCAATAAACCAGAAGTGTCTTTGCTTTGTGTAGATGATCACAAAGCTTAATCCAAGTTGAGCACAGATCTCATCACAAGAGAGAACACACTTTATGTGCCCAATTATATGAGATAAGTTATTGTTTAAGTATTACATGACAGATATATTATAAGTTGGGCCAGGCCTCAAAGTTTAATTTTTTAGTATTTTTTTCCAGGTAGCCAGTGGTAAAATCAAGAAGACAAGCCAAAAACATTTGAATGTATCTTTCATCAAATAACTATTATAATATGTACAAGTCATAGCACTAGGCTTGAAATTGTATATTAGTGTCCTTGATTTTTGTTATTTGTGTCTCGAATGATGAAATTTATTTTACAAGATGACATAGGTATATCCTTGCTTATCCAAAGAGCATTGTCAACTAAAATAAAATAGTAAAATTATAATTATGTATTTCTGTTCATTGTCTACTTTAGGAGGAATTATTTGCAAGTACAGTTATTATTGGCAGACGTGTTTTCCACGATCTGCTGTTCTTTTCGTTGGCATGCAGGAGACAACAATCTGTCATAAACAGATTTTCTATTGGTCTTCGACAATGTGTGTTTGGATCATAACTGAATATATTCAAAGTGATAAGACATTAAAAGCAAACACCAGTATTGTAAATGGTGTTACCATTTCATTATGCAATGAATATTGTTATAATATTCCTGCAAAAGGCGTTCAGTAACATGAAAAAATACCTCCATTTTCGAAACTTCGTATCATTAAGATGTTCTTTGAAGACTGTCATGATACACGGCTAGGAAGCTTGTTTTTTCATCTAGTTTTGGTTTGGTTCATAGTTTAATGCCGCACTCAGCAATATTCCAGCTATATGACGGTGGTCTGAAAATAATCGAGTCTGGACCAGACAATCCAGTGATTGACATAATGAGCATCGATCTACGCAATTGAGATACGACATGCATCATCAACCAAGTCAGCGAGTCTGACCACCCGGTCCCGTTAGTCGCCTCTTACGACAAGCATAGTCACATTTAACGGCAAGCATGGGTTGCTGAAGACCTATTCTACCCCGGATCTTCACCTGTCTTTTTTTCATCTACTCAGTCTTAATATCACCTGGAGACTTTTCGTATCTGTAATGAGTGAGTGAGTATGGTTTTACGCCGCTTTTAGCAATATTCCAGCAATATCATGGCGGTTTTCCTATCTGTAACAATACTAACATGGAATTTTATTGGATAAAAATTGGTTTCTAATGACGCTTTCTTCCTGAAACCTGCATCAATGTTCGTGATTGTTCAAATTTGAGCATGTGGCCCAAGGCAGTTAATCAAATACAGCTACGGTACTGTCCTCATGTGTGATGAATATCTAATTTTGACGAAAGATTTTTCTTAAATTTTGTTATTCCTAACGTTTTAAGCAGGAAATCACAATCTTTACTAAAAATATGGAACATCATGGATGTATCATGCTGGTATCATGTGACAAAGATTTTTCATGTATATATTTTGGCATTAAACATCGTTTGACAACTTTTAGAAATATTTGGTTCATTGTATTTATTACTTTGTATATTATATTTAGAAATTTGCTTGAAACTACTTTATTTTGCTCTTTGACATGTTCGATGTGGACCTTAGAATTTTATTTTAAATAACATTGCGGGAAACAGAGAATAATTTTTTAAGCTATCAATAAAAAATTATAAACTGAAATGGAATACGTATTTCAGACATTGTCGAATGTGATAGATTTAATAAATGAATGATATGACAGGTAGGTTAATAAAATTATATACTATTTTGATATGACTATGGCTTGGCCGGTTTACCGGCCTACGGTGTCCGGGCCCATTTCTGATGTCCCCTGTCGTGATATTGCTGGAATATTGCTAAAAGCGGCATAAAATCAAACTTACTCACTCACTACGGTATCTGGGGACTCGAGGCTTCTTTGCCGGTGTTATCCCTCGTAATGCTGCACTGAGTTATGGGAATATTAATGCAACAGACGATGAGTATGGTATGCATTCCGTTACGACCTTGAAATCACTTGCGATCGAGAAAATGGCGTCGCAAATGTCAATCAAATTATTTATGTTTGTGTCTACGTATGTGATGCAAAGGAAATTAGTCGCCACAAGATAATTTTCAAGGTAGTCATTTGGCTACCTCTGAATTTTAGTCAGTAGACAAATTGATATTTGTGTCGCATTGGCGACCGTTTTAGTTTGAGGCCTGTGGGCTTTTGGACAATGAATGAAAGGGATTGCAGACATAATGTCATGTTTTCAGTTGTCGTGAATCTACAGGTAGTAATGATGACAACCTACCTGCTCCACATGTTTGACAGAGATCAGGATCACACTCCCTCACTGCCAGGAAGCAAGGACACTGTTTTGTATTACACTGGGCCTTGCAGCGACATCCTGGAAACCGATTCTGACCTACAAAATAAGATGTAAACAAGGTGATTTAATCTACTTCTTTCAACCTGGGCCTTGAAAAATATGGGGTATTGCAAGAACAATCTGGGGGATACAAAATACATGCAACGTTCAATACTGTGCTGTGGCAAGTTAAGGTATTTAACATCAAATAAATAATTCCCTTCTATTGCATGATTTGTCCCCTTTCTGCTGCATGATAACCTGCAAACATAGTAAAGGCTGTTAGAAAGGTACCCTCATCACATTCATACTTTTAGTTTCAGATTGTTTTGTTATCATACACATTAGAAATGCATTGTAGAACTTTGCCCAATACTGCCATTACAAAAGTAACTATTATTACAACAGAAATACTTCTGAAAATAAATCATTTGAAACCTGAAGACATACCCGGTAATCATTATTGAGTTTTCAAATATCTTATTACTTGGTAAGTCTTATTTAGATATCCTCCAAACATTGTTATACATGCATGGTATTCCTTTATATTCTCTCGGGTAGCATGTTGTAAATTTTACATTAAATTATATAGTAGAAACGTGTTTGAACAAGGTTTCCAAATTCTAAAAACAATTAACCGGAACACATCCAAGCATCACCATGGTCACCACCCAAGAAAATGGGTCATACACAGTAATCCTGTGCACAGCGACCAAGACCAAACGATCACTTGACTACACCTGCCACATCATTCTCTTTCTTAGAGCTAACAGGATAGAGTAGCTTTGATGTGGGGATGGTCATGTGGGCACATTGCTTGTGAGATAGGATAAAATTCACAAATTTTAAAACTTATCCTAACCTCACACTATGCATGTATCACACAGTTGGATGGTGGGGTGCAAATACCATAGCCTGTAAAAGACTACAACCATGAGACATACACTAGGAAGCTTGTACTAAACAGTAAGATAAAAATAAAATAACCTATAACACAGCCTAGTGTTGTAAACACACCATAACAGGCGATATAATCCCTTTACATTACTTGGATGTAACAGCATAAAATTTGGTGTAACATACGTTACATGTCTTCAGGAATGACTGTGTAGCTGTAAAGAACAATCGATACAGCATACGACTTATAATCGCTCTGGAAGGGGTCTTCAGCAAATCGATTCCACAAGACAGGTCACAGTACTATCTCTTGTGGACAATAGGGTGCGCCTGCTCGGCATCTCTTTTTATGCATTGACAAAGCTATCAAACTGCCTGAGGGATTGAAGCATGCTACAACAAGAAGAGGAATGATTGACAATATCCACAAGAGGATCTACGAATAAATACCAGGCTGCACATGTCAAAAGCAGCGGTAAGTGGGTAAGGATTCAGGACACCATTGAAATGGCTGCATCCTCAATTTGGCAACCTGACAAATAAAATACAATAAACACAGGAGATTAAGTTCCAGGATTTATACTGTATATACACCATACAAAATATCAAAGAGCGGGTATCTGCGACTATTTGCGCTGGTGTGCACAGTTGCGGTGCCAGGACCAAGGGACCGAACCTGGTGTAGACCCTGAACATCGGTGACTGAGATATCATGTAGAAAAGGGGAAGTGAAGATAGCATCAGACTTCCAAAAACAAACCAGAGCATCATGGTCCCTACCTAAGGATCTGGGATGGGAGAGACGAACCTTGGGAGCTGAGCATTGAACCTGGTTGCGTAGCATAAGCATAAGGGCAACCACGTCAGTGAGGATACTGATCTAAGTGAGGGGGAGCTCTTCAAGCCACGTTGGTGATCTACATAACCACTATGCCGAGAGCGAATCCAAGCGCGAAAGTCCTTTTGATGATGATGGTAACACATAGTTGACGAACGCTTAGCCGAGTCTATATAATAGTCATCCTCTTCATCATGCTGAATTGGTAGCGTCCTTTCGATCCCCAAGTCATTGTTCCTGAGAAGTTCGATTCCAAGAGTGACCTGGTTAGAGAATGATCCTCAGACTGTTGATCCCTAGGTGAGTGATCCTTTGGTGAACGATCCTTAGAGCACCGATCATCTGCCAGCCGGGAAACACTGAGAGGGTCGACAGTTGATACTGTAGATGAACTCTCCTTGACATAAATGTGTGTCTGTCCAAAGATCAGGTTGCTCTAATGTTGGCTTGGTAACAAGCGCCCTAGTATCAAATGGCTGGTTCGTTTTGGCGGGAGCATCGTCAATAAGGAAGCTATCTGATACACCATCGTCTTCAACCGAAAAAACAACAAGTAAATAAAAGACAAGGATGGTATGGTAGATGTAGGAGGTGGTTTCATGGCTGTTGAGGCACGTGGAGAAGGAAGCCAACTTTGTATTACATTGGGCTTCTTAGTAGTGAAGGATACGTGTCCTATGTTCTGAGATTTAGACCACCGATCAACCTTACGCTATGGAATTTGCATAAGTAATACAAAAAGATTCTTCTGAGAACACTGACAAGATCTAGGTCCTTAGAACAGAGAACACAACAGTCACAGCAAAGGTCGTGAGGGTCCACCAAGGAAAGCACATCTGCTAGTTACACAGGCCGGGTGTTTATCTTGGCTGTTCCCATCTTCTTCAATGTGTATCACAGGTGTCCTTACCAAGGAGGAGGTAGCTCACGCAAAAAACAACATGTATTCTCTATTTTAATATTTATCCAAAAACAGGTCTCTACAGGAGGGCGATAAGAATGGTGGGGTAGTCATGTGATCAGGTTGTGTTGGTCACTATTCACTGATTACAATGCTTGACCAATTTGCCTAGCATACACTAAATAAATACAAATGAAATGTTAACTCATGTTTAGTGATAAAATCTATGAACGGTAAAACAAGCATACAACTCATATTTCTGCCATGTTCATAATACGAGATGTACAGTAAAGGGAAGTAACTGTGAGGTACATTGGACTTCATGTGTTTGAGACATGATTATTTACACTGTTTATTTATTTTTCAAAATGAAAGTAAAAACACATGAAAACTCAAGGAAAACAACTATCTTGAGACTTACAATCATTGCTGCACTGACAGAATTTCTCACAGAAATTCTGTGCCATAATACATGGACATGTCTCGTCACATCGCTGTCCGGGGTGATCACAGGGCTGGTAGTTGTAGACTGGGTTTGGTGATCCATCCTTCTTCAGCTGGATCTTCCGACAATGCATTGACCACAACCTGGATGAACAAAAATATGGTAAAGTCACTCTTCGCGCTTGCTGGTTCAACTATTTCTACAATGAGGTCTTTATATTCAGTATTCTATGCTTCTGTCTTGTGATTTAGTATATTAATATAAGAAAAGAAAAATTAAATCTGAAAGTTTCTGCTGACAAGTTGGGTATGCAATTATTGTAGACAGAAGAAAAAAATAGTGCCAAAGCAGTGTAACTCACTTGGAACACAGTCAACAGTTCCCCCCCCCCCAAAAAAACCCCCAAACAACAACAACAAGAACATACGACTCTAGGACATAAGTAGCTGTCCCCATTGACATTCAAGTATTTTCTGCATATAAATTGCTAAGTAACTCTCAAATCAAACGAATTGAACAAAATATAATGTTATCATAAGGGCCCCATTCCACAGAGTGATTGTAACGCTACAACAGTCGAAAGTCTATGTTTATGTATGGGAGTTACAATCACCTCAGCACTACAATCGCTTTTTGGAACAAATCCCAACTCCCTCAGTCAGGCAATCAGTCAACAGTATTTTCTACTTCCTGATAATCATCAACATTTTCTGACTGCTTGCACATTGCAAACTCGCCGCCATCGCCATAGGAATAAATGACTAATTTGTTGCTAATTAAGCAAAAGAGTGAACCTGGAACAATATTAATTGTATAATGAACATATGATGAACTGTCAATACAAATTATTTAAAAAAATTACCTTTGAACATGATGAAATGCAGTGACTATTTCACATTAGTTTTCTGATGTTTTGATGTAGTATTTTACTTTGTACCAAGAAAGGTTTGATTTGTTTGTTGAAATCACATTCATGAAAGTTTAATTTCTCATCATTTGATTTAAAATATTGTTTATATATAAAAACTGAATATTTGACACTTAAACTTTCAATAAATGAAAGCATTGCATCAATTGCAAATAACATCACTTTGTCACCATTATTCTGTGCAGGCGGGAGAACCTACTTGATGTCATAGAGATAGTAATCTTACAAATAGAAACAATGATAACTATTGTTTGATGATTCCTACAAATACTATACCTCTATTACATCATTTCCAGAATAACTTCCAGGACTGGTGGATACTCACATCTAGTAATTAGTCACCAGTGGAGAGGGAGGCTATCGTCCCAACAACACATCACCAAATAACAACTATCTGGACCAAAGTTAACTTAATCAAACAAATATAGGGAATCAGAATATTCCCCTTAGTTACATTCTTCTCCCTACACAACAGTATGCAATTGCAGTAGTCAATGGCGATGAGTTGCTGCATGAAGACTAGAGGACCCAGCTGGTGTTCTCCCTCGACATCCTCAACAGACACATCCCAGAGGTAAAAGTTGGCGAAAGGATAGTAGGTTCTCCAAAAACAACCTCGGACGATGTCTGTGACAGAGCAGTTTGTGTGAAGTGCCATTGTGGTCACCAATGCCCGAATTTCATTTGGATGAGAAGCTCTAGGCAAATCCAAACCACCATATGTGTAAACCCCGAATAAAGGTGGAACGTAACCAAAACAACAGGGTATTTTTTTTATGTTCCAGCAATAAGGAGGTGACATAGAAGCAGTTAGACGTCCCAGGCCAGAGGTCGAACCTTAATCGCTGATTGGCCTCACAGTAACCCCATAGCATGGCAGTGTGTTCAGGAGCAGTGGAGATACAGGTAGAACAATGGGGCCGAGGACCGAGTTAATGGTAGACATAACTGGCAATGGTACTGCCTGACAAATGTTTTGTCTCACGTAAATAGACAAAAAATCAGCTATGAACAGAGTAGAAGCCACAGTAGGAACCATATCATATAGACAATAATTAGCCTTGAAAGATAACCACTTCTGATCATACAATGAGGCAGTAGAAGGGCGGTGTGTCTGATGAAAAGCAAGAGCCGCTGCTGGAGAGAAACCCCAAGCTGTCAATGCATTCTGCAAATGGACCACACACCTAGATCCTTTGACTCTGGGCACGGGTGTGGTTGACGAGTGTGTGGATTTCTGAGTGGACTGGGCAATATGGGGAGTTTTAAGTCTTGCTCTCTGGTGAGTCAGAGCAGATGCGGGAACCATGTCCAACTGGATCAATAATGCGTGACCAAAAGAATCTGGATGTTCCCTGAGGAGGCCAGTTTCTGGAGAACATGGGGAAGGAGCCCTGGAGGTGGAAACGCATACGCGTGTAGGCCATTCCACTTGGTGGGGAGAAAGAGAAAGTGTTCAAAAACAAGAGAGTTGATGTGCCAGTCGAGAAGAAGGGCGGTCCATAATCCTGAAGCCCGTAGGTTGGTCAAAGAGATCCTGTCGAAGATGTTCGACTCGAGGGTCCACCAATGGAGGTAAGGTCCATGTGAGGCAGGGAGATATACGACCTGGTCTGGTGTCTCCCGATCGAACAACGGTTGAAGAAAAATCTGCAGAGGACATAACTGCAGGCGTCTGTGGCGGATCGAATCCTGCACTGATGTGTTGATTTGATGCTGCATAGTTGATCTGCCAACCAAGCAGCTGAAGAAACCTGAGGGTAAATCCAATCTGGTCATTAGGCAACTGAAACAAAGGATCACTCATCAGACAGTTGTCAATGTACAAACTGAAGAGGATCAGGAACGTCCCTTGCAGCTTCGTAATACGAGTGAAAAGCCAGAGTGCCGTAGTGAGGCCAAACTATAGGACTTTGGACTGGTAATGACGACCCTTAAAAATAAACCGGCGATACCGACAGAATGCCAGAAAAATGGGGACATGCAAGTTGGCATCCTGGCCAAGAAGTAGCCAAGTTGGATGGTGGATCGGAGCATCTGAACATCCAAAACCAGGGTGGGTTACACGAAGCTTGAAAGAATTTTTCTTCTGCACCAGGAAGATGCAGCTGTACAATCCCGGAGTCAGATCTGTTGAAGATCATCCCCAGAATCTATGACCCTGTTTTCCATCTGGGGGGAGGTGCCTTGCCCAGGCAATCACAGGGAAGATGATCAACAAGCCATGCTGGCATATCTGCAGGTGTGAATGTCTTGTTTGGGGACAACGTTATAATCAGGGAGGAAATTCTGTTTGTCATCTGTGTGGAGGCGAGGAGAAGAGAGGACAGACAGATGTTGCCTAGCAGGAGAACTGGGTGCAACTGAAGATCCAAGGCGCCTGGCACCAAGTGCCAGGTCGCCAGAGGAGGAGGTGATGTGCTGAGTAGGCCAACGGACCTGGTTTTGTTGATCAGAAGTACGAGGTGATGATATGGCCTGGCAACAGTTAGCAATGTCCTGGAGACATCTGGTGACTGTCCAGAGACAGTTAGCGATGGTGCTTGCCAAACTAAACTGGTCTGTAGGTCTTGTGAGTAAAAAATTTGAGAACATGTTATGGGAGGTGTGGAGATTTGTGCCAGTTTGTACCTATCTGCAATTGTCAACTTGAGCCATCCCGCTACAGTACCCTTGGTTATGTCCTTTTCTGATGAGGGTTGGAAAGAGATAAAAAAAATTTTTTCTCTGCTTTCTGTGGAGTAGTTGTAATGAAGTATCTCAAGGGACAAAGTAATCTGTTAGGATAGTCCACACTTTTACTTAAGGCTGGATCGTATATAGCCTGTGACCGAGTGGCCCAAATTCTGATACATGAGCCGTTTCATCAATGCTGACAATACTATAGATAGATCCCATTTTGGAAATAGATGTATAATTTTGATGTCTTCCCTAGTACATAGGACATCATGATTCAGTACTGGGTGCGTACCTATAGATAGGTCATTGTGTTGTAATACTGATGCCAGGGCAGATCTATAGCCTTCAATAGTGCCATGTTGAAATCTCTTGTTTTTTCTGAGGTAAAGCAAGAATTCGGCAACTGTAGCTATTGTTATTTCCACATCTAATAAATTTTTTCTCCTTCTCCAATCGACCAACTTTTCTCATCTGTTGTTGTAAAGGGCAGAAGATGCTGTTCTAGATGAGCTTGCCACTCTTTGTGTAGCTGATTTAGAGTAACAGGTCGCATTGCATCTTAGTAGAGATAACTTCCAAGGGTGAAGGTGAAAGTTGTCGAGGTGCCGTAAAATATGTCTGATTTCGGTTGCCTCAGTAGATTCAGAGGTTCTTTCATTAGGAGGGGTAGTAACCTTGGAAACCAAGACCTGTTTGGCAATGCCTGTCTCTTCTATTTTCCTCAGAACTCTTCTTGTCTAGAAGAGCCCAAGAGGGAAAATGCGTAAACGAACATTCCCTCCCAGTCCATCGACCTGGAGAGCTAGCGGGTCTGGTACCGGGCTGACGTAGACTGGTAGTTTATTGTTGAGGCAGGTGGTGAACAGATCTAGGTTTGGAGTATCTCATAGTGAGGTTATCCACTTGAATATTTCGGGTTGTAGTGACCATTCTGTGGGTACGATCTTGCTCTTCAGTGATAGGTAATATGCTAGGATATTCAACGTGCAAGGGATGTGTCTTGCCTCGAACCTGCAGTTCACCGAGTCTACCAAGTCCAAAAAACATGTAGCCTCCTTCAACAAAGGCTTAGACTTCGTGCCTCCCTAGTATTGTATGTAAGCTACCATGGTCAGGTTGTCTGTGCAATTCTTACTCAAGAGTGGTGAAGATGATCTAACCATGCTTCTTACAGCTAGATATAGCGCCCTCACTTCTAGGCAGTTGATGTGTAACTCTTGGGCGGATCATTCTCCCTGTACTGTAATGTTGTCCAGATGGGCGCCCCATCCCTCTCCTGACACGCCTGTGTTGATGTAGAGGAGGGGGATATGAGAGTTGAAGTCCGGGCATGACGCTCTGATGAGTTAGCCACCAATGTAGTTCTGAGATTCGAACTGGTGGAGGTTGAATAAGTGCTTCCAGCTCTAATTCCTTTGTGGTGTTCATCCCGTTTTGCAAGGGTCGTAACTTTAGTCTGCCTCAGCAGGTCAGTGAGTGTGCCTGGGCAAGACATCCGCCAATGTGTTGATTTGATGGGCTGGTTGAGTGCGCTTT